TCTCAATAAATATTCCATTTGAAAGAGATGAGAATGAGAAAACGAGGACAGAATTAACAAGAAAAAAAAACAATAATGTATAATATCTACTAAAAATTATATCTATCAGTATATTCTGACCAAAATTGTATTTTCAAGGAACATCATCATGCTAATTGTACATTCTTACGTCACAATTTAAGCCGAACGGAATAATTCAGAGATCGCTAGCGCTTTGTGATAGAGATCTATCTTTTTTCAAGTAATGTTTAAAGGCCGACAATGAGGACTTGACGGGGTTTCAAAGTCCGCGCAATTAGTTAATTGCAAGGACTTTGAAATCCCATCAAGTCCGAATTGGAGGCCTTTGAACGACTTCAAAAACTCATTAATTATTCGGGAGGGAAAAAAAGCGAAGGAAATACATATAACAGAAATATATTGATTTATTGCATCTCCACTAAGGTTTTCAGTTTTCATAATTTTGAATGCATGAAGCACCATTTGTTGTTCTTCAATTCCCGGACGGCTTTCTGAAACAAAAGCTATTCAAATTGTCTTTGTCTGCTATTCATGGCATTCCTAATGAGTCTAATCCATAAGATTTATTAAGTATGTTATCTTCCGAGGAATCGCATCAGAAACTCGGTGGCGTAATGGTATAAGACGGCGCATATAGACTGGACGGTAGGGGATCGAGTCGTGAGGGAGTCATGTATCAAAGACCTTTTTTCACTAAATTAATGTTAAACTGATTATTTATAATAATTTGATTATCATTAGCTAGTAGTAGTTGGAAACATGGTAGAAGTAACTGGAAATAAGGTAGAAGTAACTGGAAATAATGTAGAAGTAACTTGAAAAAGGTAGAAGTAACTGGAAATAAGGTAGAATACAAGGTACGAGTACTTCCTCTGGTTTCAAGTTACTTCACGTGGTACAAATTACAAACAGAGATTGGCTGAATACCTCATGAATAATTAATGAGTTTTTGAAGGAGTTTTCAAGGAATTTTCGAAATTTTCAAATTTTCAAGGAGTTTCAAGTGTCCTTGAATACGAATTTTCAATTTAAGTACTTTTCAAGGATTTAAGGACCTGCACGGACCCTGTTTTAATGTTTGGCAGGCAAGTATTGTAAGTTGGCAGGTAAAGGTAGTACTGGTACATGAAAGAGTTTAGAAAGAGGGATCTACATGTACATGTAAAAAATGTGTGAAAGAATGCTGCTAAAACAAGGATAGAAGTGAGGAGAATTTCAGTCTGGAAGTAAGACTGGAAGGAAGGAAGGGAAGGAGAAAGGGAGGGAGACAAGAAAGTAGACAGTCAGGGAAGGAAGAAATGGGAAGGGAGGAAGAAATAAAGGAAGGGAGGAAGGAAGGAAGAAAATGAAAGAAACAATGGACCATTTAAAGGAAAGACAATGTATGTAAAGGGATGAAAGAAAGATAAAAAAGTGTATTATACAAAAATGGGAAAAGGGCACGAGATAGGAATAAAGCTATTATTCTAAAATTATGACTTTACATCATCAACATTATAGCCTGCTGTTTGTTACACCTTCCTTGAGGGAGAAATCCCTGGGGAAGGCCAATGGCTGTCACAAACATAAGCAAAGCACCATTAAAACCCACCCATAATCCCCTCCTAGTGTGCACATCAAAAGAGAACCAAAGACACTCCAGACAGCAAGACCACCATGYGAAGACCATGACCAGGAAACAGCCAGGGCACAACCATCAGGTGTCCAGGAAAGACATTGTACACCACCAGTACTTTGGATTGCATCTGGATCATGGTTGTCAAGGAAAAAAATTACTTTACCGTATTTACTCCAATAGACGCCTCCCCCGAATAGACGCTGCCCTCAAATAGACGCCACACTTAARGCTCAAAATATTAATAGACGCCGACCCCAAATAGACGTCGCATCTGGGTGCGAAAATAATGATACCTGCAATTTTTTATTTTGAAGTGGCTACTTTTTTTGCTCTCAGCATCTGTTAGATTCCGACCACGAGGAGGACATTATCACAAATTGAATTCACAAAATGAACACGACATTTATATATTGAGATTCGTTACTGTTTGTTAGTAAAAATATACAATATAAAGTACGGTAGTTAGTACTGAATAAAGTGTTTTTCAATAAACGCCGCCCCCGAATAGACGCCGCCCTCGAATAAACGCTGCACCTGGACTGTGAAAAATGAAATAAACGCCGCAGCGTCTATTCGAGTAAATACGGTATATCATGTTAGGAATAGTGGAATTATTTTATTTTTGTATGGAAGTTAAGGATACCAGGGTAGTCTTTGCTGGATAAYACAAGAGAATGTGAAAGATGTAGGCCACCAGTAGTATCATCAAAACCATAAACAAGACTTGCTCCACTAGAATAAAATAGAATCAATAATACATTTGACTTTAAATATCAAATTTAAGACCCAGTTTGCACCATTATGCTTTGCGCACCTCTGTTATTGTTATGATTTACACCAAAATACTTCTAGTATCCAAATATCACCATAAAATGAATGTCAGATGGTTGAAAACTCTAATATTAAAGTGCTTAGAAAAGTGAGATGGTCAAATATTCGAAATGCACAGTACAATTTATAGACTTTCAGTAAACTGAAATTGACCGCCTCCAGGACCTTGCGGCCCCCAAAGCATAATGGTGCCCACTGGGCCTTTAAACAGCATTAACATTGTGGTGTACCCTAAAATGCTTTCTTCCATTCATCTTTTTTCATTTCATTCATTTTTTCTTTTCTTTTTGCCATCTGTATTTCTCCCATTTCTTTCGAATTTTACATCTCTCGATATCAACATTCTTTTTTAACTCTTTCTCTTCATCATCCCTAGGTTGGTTTACATTTTCCATCCCTTCTTCTAACTGGTTTTATTCCTTACTTCAAGAAATACACATTATTTTCATTCTTCAAATTTTTCATAATATATTTTTTATTCCTAAAATCCAATTCCATGATGTTTTAAATAATGTTTTGTTCTATCATTTTCCCATTTTTAATTCATCCAGTTTATTTCTTTTTCTTAAGTTCTTCCTTCCTTCCCTTCCCTCATTTTCCCCCAGACTATTCAACATGAAAATAAACTCACTTAGTACATCCAAATACTATCAGCCGATATCTGTGATTGATTGCCACACAAGTTGCAGAATTAAGATCTCTTGCCCATACACCAATCATTTCCTAAAAAGAAATCAGTGCTAGAATTMAAAAACTGCAAAATYATTGAATGAAAAGCACCACATACCTACTGCACAAAATGTAAACTTACTGATGGCTCAAAAGTGGAYGTTTCTGCAGAGAGAAATCCTCCCCTTCCATCTGCTAATACCACAGCAAACCCACCAAGTAGTGGGCTGTACACCATTGCCCTRAAACAAACTCCCTCTAATTCTAAAGGAACAGCTGTAAAATTAAAGAATGAATGAAAGTAGAGTTAKTCTTTTCAGTTACAATACTGTTTCAGGTTTTAAAAGCAAACAGCTCCACAGACTCCAACAAAATAAAGGTTTTTGTTACATGGCATGTATATAGTGCTCAATTTTCTCAACATTTTTTAAGGAAGAAACATATTGCTACAACAATACAATTTATTATGAAATTATTGCTTTTTTAGATCATTTAAACTATATAATGCTCAACAACAAACATACAACAACAACAACAACAAAGAAGCATACTACTTTAAATTCATTTTTGTTGTTATTGATCTTGTTGTTCGTGGTTTGGTTTTTCCATTCATAAAATATGTATGAGTTTCTAAGTAGCCATATTTTATAGTTAAAAGTACCTCTGACATTTTCTAGATCATTTGTGAAAGGTAATGAATGGATTGGCATTGATAAGTTTTCTTCCAAGTAGCCATCCCAAGTWATACGGTGAAGAAAACCTTTACCACTGCACACAAACAGCTCATCTCTTCTTGCTGCAAAACTATTAAAAATAGATACATGTACAAGTCATAATGGTACATCATAGACATCATGATGTTTTATTCATCAGTGCTGCATCACATGTAGACTTGCATGTAATTCAATTATTCATTATAATTCAATTTCTTTCATACAGTGTAGGTTTAAAGACTCACATCCACCCAAGAGCCTTTGCAACTGTTTGTTTTGTTTTACAAACGATCACCTGATTGGTCCAAAGTCAAAGATGGGCATTTTCAATTTTTTGTTTTGTTTTGTTTTGTTCAAAGGTCCTCCAATGTATGTGGGACTCCCTCATAATATAAGTACATGAATTAGATTTGACTATATCCTTTCTTTTAGTATCCTACCAAGTGATATCGCCAGCAATAGTCACAATTTCRATTTCAACAAGTTTTATAGCAGGAACGCCATTTTGAACTGATGTTTGGTGGTAATAAGAAGAGCTGAAAATAAAATTGCAATTTTAATAGAAATAATATTGCTAAATAAATAATAATAYYAGTTACCAGCCAAACAAACCTTGACAGCTGCGTTTTGTATAGTTGTTGGCTGCTGCTTCTTTGTAATTCCAAGAAAACAACTTTTCCTTCTGAAGTCTAAACAGAAAGATGACAGAATTTTATTATGAGGCATTCAAAAAAAATTGAGAACTTAATGAACTTAATGAAGTTAATGCTCTTGTTGCTGTTGTTGTTGATGAGGCAGTTTTTGCTGCTGTTTGTTGTTGTTTTTGATGTTATTACTGTTGTTGTTGTTGACATTTGTTACTTTATATCTAAACCATTTGTATTAACTTATTTTGCTATGTTAATGTATTTTATTTTTGGTGTAGTTATGAAACCTGATCATAAAGAACTAGTCAGGCATGTCGGAATTATGCGTGGATGCGGACGTGCATAATTGCCCCCTTTCTGCATAATTTACCAAATCGCGCATAATCGCGCATAATTCATGATTTTTTTCCATGTTATACCATTTTTTAAGATGAATTGCCTTCTACTAATGTTTTTTTGATCAAAAAACGCTCCCAAACATGCTTATAAGGCCTTATAATTTTCCGAATATAGTTTTGTTTTCGTGGGCTTCACAAATGTACCAGGCGTTCAAAATTTCATCAGAAAAGAGTCTGGGCACTAGCATTACTGGTCACCCTGTGCCTTACCAGATCACGTGACAAATTCCAATATGGCGTATTACAAGTGGGACGTAAAGCGTGCAAGAACGAAAAAGTCTAAAAAGATCTTTCCTTCGGTTGGTACTGCCTTCCATACTTCGTAACTAAGATAAAAACGGAGTTTTGCATGAAAAACAAACACAATAACTTAAAAATTTGTAAAATTTCCCAAAGTTTGCATTCCTGTGATGATGTCATCCTGCATAATTTTCCGCATAATTCACCCTTTTCTCCGCATAATATGGGGAAAAATTTCCGCATAATTTTGATTTTTTTCGCGCATAATTCCGACATGCCTGACTAGTAGGAATATCAAACCAGAGATACTTACAGAAACAGCAAGAACTGATGAATCAGGCTTCCACACAACAGCTACATTTGTACCAACTTCTTTAATTGAAGTAGGCGACCGTCGYAGTGTCACAATCAATACTCTAGGCTAAAAATTACAAGTATAATCCCTATTAGATGGACCAATAGCAGTCATATTATGATAATTTATAAATCTATATGTATGTAACTCAACACAGTTGTGTGGGATATTGATTATTTAAACAACAGAGTAGTTGAACCGCCGACCGGTTAGCTCAGTAGGTAAAGCATCGGACTTTAGTGCAGGAGGTCGCAGGTTCAAACCCCGGCCGGACCAACACTCAGGGTCTTAAAATAATTGAGGAGAAGTTGCTGCCTTTGTCTTTCTCCATCTGCAAATGGTAAGATCTTCTCGTCCTCTTGGATAACAACGTAAAATCGGAGGTCCCGTCTCTCTACACTTCACTCACTAACCTGTATTAGAGGGACGTTAAAGAACCCACACCACTGTTCGCATAAGAGTAGGGAATGATTCCCGGTGTGTGTGGCTAGGCCTTACTACTAACCCATACTAATTATTAACCCCTCATGATTGTAAGCCGCGTGGCTGCCAATTGCGCCTTAAACAGCGGTCCGTGTGAAATGATCTATTGGCCATTTCGACGTTGCGCAGGGGACTGGGCACTAATCAAAGAAATATTGATCTATTCACGAAACAAACCCCACCAGATGAAAGGGCACCCAAAAATTAGTATATATACCAAGTTTCAAAACGTTTGGATAAAAACTAGCTGAACAGTATTTATTCCTAGTTTCATCACATTATCAGAGAATGTATTGTTTTGGGGGACGCGATCGAAATCCCCATACATTCTCTGTAAATTGCACGGCTTCTCATTAATTGAATATTTGTCCAAATGATCTGTAAACTTGGAACCTACACTAAAGTCGATAAAGTCTTTTTAGTGATATGGTTAGTTTTTCGATTGGCTCAATATGACAGAAATTACAATTCATTTCATAACATAAAAATGGCCAATACATGCATGAAGCGCCTTTGAACTCAGAGGATATCGTCGCTATATAAATAACACATATTATTATTATTATTATTATTATTATTATTATTATTATTATTGAATCCAGGGCATTTATACAATGAATGTTGCTATCAGAAACTGTATGTTCCGAAAAACACATAGTCACCCGAGAACGCTGTTTCCAAAGGGCACATTACAGCGTAATACTCGAGATGTGAACTGATATATAGCCTATTGTTTTTATTACTAAACCGGCGGACTCCATGTACTGATAGCACTCCTCCACGTCGAATAGACTTTCGCAAGTCGTTTTCCGATATTGAACTAGATGCATCAAAGACTACAGAGCTAAGTCCTAGAATATTTAAGCTAACTTAAAGAAGATTTTCAACTTAAGTTACTTACACGATTATTCCAAATACAAATGCTGTGAGAAGAAATCACTGCTAGAAGTGAGCGATCTCGATTGTACTTCAACGCAGATAGTTCCCCACATTCTACATCCCTCGGGGTATAATATTTTGGCCATCCTATGGGGAAAAACATCCCGAAAAGTGGAAAAAACTAATCAGCCACTATCGTCCGCCATCTTTGTTTTTGACTTCTCGCCTCAGTCCTCCTTAATTTAGCCTCGACTTCAAAACGAGTTGACGTTCTAGAACCCAGTTCTAACGTTCAAGAGTTCGAGAGGTCAGGATACCGTTCAGAAGTTAGTAAAGGTCTCTTCATGTTACATTTATCGTGTTTCATTGCGGAAATCTCGCTCTGTACAAGACGAATGATGTCTAAATCTRTTCAGCCTATTGTGATYTTTGTTCTTGGAGGCCCTGGCGCCGGGAAGGGAACGCAATGTGAAAAGATYGTTCAGGTAAAGCTAGATTTGAGAACTTRGCAGCCTTTTCRTGACTTCTAAAAATCATTTTGTTGTTGGCTGAGATTTTATTAAGAAATTTAAGAACTTTAGATTGGTGATGTGAATTCTTTTCTTAGTAATTTTGATTGCYATAGCGCACTAAATAATGGTTGTAAAAAACTTGTATGATTTTTTATGGTAAATTGATGGAAGCCACGTAGAATCTTTATCTGACTTCTCTTTAATCAGGTGTTCAAGCGCGATATTTTTCGACATTTGACAGCAGAATCATAACCCGTGACAAACATTTGAAAGMTTGCTGTTTTGAATAGTAGAAATAAAAGTGACTACCTACAAAGTGTAAAATCTTAATGTTGCTTATGTAAATTAACTTAAATGGTCAGAAAAATTTATGATGATATTTCCTGTTTCAAATATCATWATTTGTCTAAGTTTTGCATGCTTGAGCAAGTCAAAGTAGCGACCCAACCACTTCCCATTCTTGTATTGTTTTCTAAAGGATTCTATATTCTTTAAAAGATATTGGTTGATTGGGCTAAGATTTTGTAAAGAAATAATATATTCTATATTCTGTTTGAATGGTGTGCAAATGAAGATGAGGTTGTATCATAACGAAACCAAAGAATTATCTACATGTATTATGGTTTCCATGGAGCCTTGTTGGCAATTCATTTGCATGTTAGTCAACCAAAATAATGAAGGATTAGCATAGATGACTCAATCCTCTAGGAAATACTATGAATACTATCTAGTGTCCACTGTTCTTGTATTTCCAAGAGTATAAAGTACAGAACTGTACATGACTTGTTAGTGACAAAAGAGAAAGCTAAAAGACCATAATTTCCTTTGATTTAAAATATTCATTCCCCTGTCTCCTAGCTACAGAATGTACAGTCGTTATATCCCATGTACAGTCGTTAAATACCATGCTCTACCTTGGGATAAAAGGACTTAGGATTTCAATTGATTGGTACATAAAGCAATTTTGACTAATTAAAATGTGGAAGTTGATTGTWTAACTTGTGTGTTTTAGGAGTTTGGCTATGTTCATTTGTCAGCTGGTGAGTTACTTCGTGCTGAGAGAGCTAGTGGTTCAAAAGATGGAGATCTTATAGAGAGTTATATTAGGGATGGAAGAATTGTTCCAGTTGAAATTACYATTGGTCTTTTACAAAAGGTATGATATAACAAATGGTTACTTTCTCTTTTTTTACCCCTAGGGACCCTGATAGTACTCCCAGGGTCCTTTTGACAAGAGAAAGTGGTCTGCTACTAAACAAGAGATGGACATTTTACAAACTAGGATCTAAAATGGGGCGCTTGTGTGTTGTGCTCTTACTGTAGTATCAGAGAGGACAAGTCAGAAAAATGTTTGTAGGAGAATAGGCCATCTGCACAATTCCACCAATTTTTACTACAAAGAGCACAATACTTCACTTATTTTCATTCTTATTCAGATTTTGATCTCTTTGGGGATTAGCAAAACAATTGACACTAACAACTGTTTAATATATACTGTACAGTCATTATTTTAAAGAAAAAAAGTTTGCAAAGTGCATCTTTTATTGGTAGTATGTGACACCATCATGAAAATTGACTATTACATGCAATCAAACAATGTTGGGCACAGTCTGCTCTCCCATCATTTGTAATAAATTTAAATATTTATTTACCAACCCAAAAGTAACATTTGCATTTTATTGCCATTCATTAGGCCATGAATAAATGCAGTTCTCAAAAGTTTTTAATTGATGGCTTTCCAAGAAATGAAGATAATTTAATGGGATGGAAACGGGAAATGGATGGAAAAGTTGATCTTAARGCTGTACTATTCTTTGATTGCCCAGAAGAGGTACATGTAAGACAAGTTACATCAAGAGTATGTATGTGATACTAACCAATTACATGTAGTATAAGACCCCTTACCCTTGAGATTCAGAGGGCTTTGACTGTATTATTAATCATTATTTTATCTGGAGTAAAGATGGCCAAGTTAATAGTTTTAAAAAATGCCAGTCTACCAGATACTGTGAATGTGGTCCAGGTTTTTTTAAATTCACAGTACGGGACTATAAGATGATTTTGAGTTTGTAAGCTGGTTTTTACCTTGTTCCAAAGGTATACTCTGGTTTTCCTTTGTCAAAAAACTAGCTGTGAGGAGTATTTTGTGCACTCAATGTTGAGGTACATGTTGTGTGTTTGAGTCTGTCGTGTAAACCCCCAAAATTAGTATGAAACTTTTTCAGTCATAAGTAAACACACTACATGACATTGTGTACCTCAACATTGAGTGCACAAAATACTCCTCACATTTTTTACTGTGTTTGTCACTTCTTTCTGTATTTTAGGAATGTATAAAAAGAATTATGGATAGAGGGAAGTCAAGTGGCAGATCTGATGACAACTTAGAAAGTTTACGTAAAAGGTAAGACTTCCAAAACAGCAATAAACCAATAGATCAATGAATACACATGATAAGAATGATAAAAAGGTATGTGATTGTTTACTCTGTAGATTAGAGCGGATTTCGAGTGGGAAACGGACGCTACTGTACTGTGACCGTAATTGTACTGTAACCAAATTCTAGTGCCCCATTGGTTCACCAAAATTGTGAAGGCCAGGTCCGGTAACTGTGCGGTAACCGTGCGGTAACGGTGTCCCACTCATACGAAATCCGCTCTAATGGAGTGGGATACATAATGGTGAAAAACGGGATGAAATGGGGAGAGGTGGAAAATAGAAATTGCAGCACAGTTTCACTTCAATTGCCAGCTACTTCTGTACACAGTTTCACAAATATTATCAGGAAAATAATGTTTAAGTAGTCTAACATTTTACTTTCAGATTTCAAACATACAAGAATTCAACGATGCCAATTATTAAGCACTATGAAAATGTAGGCATTGTCAAGCATATCTCTGGGATCCCTTCTCCTGATCAGGTACAATTA